ATTCTTCATTGAGGGAGTAGTTGAGTGGAGGCCCAATGTCCATCTGCTACTTTAATATTAACCTATACATATATGCACATAGATCTATTTCCACATCCTCATATATAAATATATTTACATGCCTTTATTTAGACCTCTATAACTGTCTTTGCCTCCTATCCCTTTCCTCTATTTCCTTTTACTTTCCTCTTGTCCCACTATCATGTTCAGCCTTCATTTGGGTTTCAGTAATTCCTCTCAGTTACATTAGTTACCCTTGGTCACACCCTACAAGGCCCCCTACCCCCTCCTCACCCACGATTTGGATCACTTGTTGTTCCCTTGTCCCTGGGTTTGTTAACACCACTTCCTTTCCCCCCACCTCTCCCTCTCCCATGTCACCTCAGAACTTTTGGTCCCGTTGTTTTCTCTTCCAGATGGTTCATCCAGCGTATCTTATTTAGACAGACCTGTGGAGATAATAACATGCACAAAAACAAGACAGAGCAAAACCAAGCAACAAAATAAAACAAAGCAACAGCAACAACAACAAGCCAATGACACAAAACAAAACAAAACACAACAACAAGAAAGAAAATCTTGTAGTTAGTTCAAGGACTGTTTGCTGGCCTTTAGGAGTGTTTTCCGATCGAGTCTGATGGGGCGCCATGCCCTGAACCCAAAGTCTATTTTTGATATTCCCTGGGGACTTTGTTGCTCTGTTCCCCTTGCTGTTCTGTTGCACACCCTTAGTGTTTTGCCTCAGTGTGGTGGGATCAGATCAGGCTGAATTCCCACACTGTGTCTCCAGTGTTGTCCCCTGTAGGGCTATGGGTCAGTGAGGGATGTTGAGTCACATTGTGGGGCTGGCCATATGGGCTTCTCTGTGGATTGGCTGCTCTGAGCAGGAATCTAGTCAAGGTTTGGTGGGCCAGGATGTGCTCCACTCTCTCTTCCTCCCTCTTCATTTTCTCCAGTGTGCTGTGATCAGACATGTCCCTCTCCCTGAGCTGCAGATTGAGTGCTGTCCTCTCAAATAAATTATTCTGGGGGGAGGGGCAGTGTCCACGTGGTTGGGATTGGGGCCAACAATCAATCTCCTTAAGGTCCCCCTCCATCCCCTGTTGGGTTTTTTTTGCTAGCCCTCGATTATGCCAAACATGAAATCCTTCTCCAGTGTCTGATTTACCTAATAATATGTCCAGTGCACATGAAATGAAGTATTTCAATCCTAACTTCTAATAGGGCATTTTGACTGTAATCCTTTCAAGACAAATATGGATACAATATAATTGCAGAATGCAATTTTTGATGGACTTTTAAAAACACAAACAATTGACAAATTATGTTTCTATAGCCAATAAAAACTTTCAATAAAAATGAAGATGAGATAAAACATTTCAAAAGAAGTGAAAATACACATAATCATTTTGCTATCAGATCCACATTGAAGGGGGTCATTCAAGGTAAGCTTTCAGATAGAAGAAAATTATCCCAGGTAATCAAATGGAATTTATGAAAAACATAATGAATGACAGAAATTTGCAAAATTTTGGATTATCTAAGAAA